AAAAAAAAAAAAAAAAAATCTCTTCTATTGCTTGGCATGGTGGCTCATGCCTATAATCGCAGTACTTTGAGAGGCTGAGGTGGGAGAATTGCCTCAACAGGAGTTCTAGACCAGCCTGGGCAACACCAAGACCTTGTCTCTACTAAAAATAAAAAATTAGCTGGGCATGGTGGCATGCACTTGGTACTGCCAGCTACTCAGGAAGCTAGGCAGGAGGATCACTTTAGCCCAGGAGTTTGAGGATTCAGTGAGCCATGATCATACCATTGTACTCCAGCCTGGTGACAGAGGGGACCCTGTCTCAAAAAATATATATATAAAATGTCCTCATATCATACTTTACCTTCTTTATGTTTGTATATGTTTAGATACAAACCTATCTAAACATTTAAATACCATTGCGCTTCAATTGCCTGTAGTATTCAGTATGGTAACATGTTGCACAGGCTTGTAGACCAGGAGCGGTAGGCCATATAGGCGAAGTGTGCAGTATGCTATACCATCAAGATTTGTGTAAGTATGCTCTGTAATTGCCCATCCGTAATGATGCATTTCTCAGAGCATGTCCCCATCATTAAGCGACACAATATTATTTTGTTATAGCAACCCAAGTTATTCAAGACACTGGATATTCCTGATACCATGAAGACCTGAACGACAAAGCTTGTTAATACCTCAAAACCTTTCTTAACTGCTCTAGTGGATTTGATCTCTCCCATCTCTGAACTTTTATAACAATTTAATCTTTATCACATGGGCTCACACTTGATTATGTTTTATATTATCTTCTCAAATTACTTTTTTGTTGTTGGTCTTGTCTTCCTAATTACTTTCTAAACTTTTCAAGAACAATTCCTTCATTACTTTGATATCACAAATGCTTAGTGCATAATGTATAATTGCTTAGGAAATATTGGATTAGTCAATGATTTCCTATGGATGACATAGAAAAGGAAAGTACTTCCTTTGCCTTTTCTTGAACCACCTTTTCCCTCAGGTTTTCTCTCAGTATCACCTCTTCAATATAAATTTCTTTATATTTTACTGATAACTTTTTATATATGCCCAGATTTCTTCTATCTATGGTAAGTGATGTAGCAATATTTTTTTCTTTTTTCTTTTTCTTTTTTTTTTTTTTTTGAGATGAGTTTCATTCTTGTTGCCCAGGCTGGAGAGCAATGGCGCAGTCTCGGCTCACTGCAACCTATGCCTCCTGGGTTCAAGCGATTCTCCTGCTTTAGCCTTCCAGGTAGCTGGGATTATAGGCAGGTGACACCATGTCCCGCTAATTTTGTGATTTTACTAGAGAAGGGGTTACACTACATTGGCCAGGCTGGTCTTTAAACTTCTGACCTCAGGTGATATGCCCGCCTCCCAAAGTTCTGGGATTATAGGCATGAGCCATTGCGCCTGGCCGATGTTGCAATAATTTTTAAAGGACATTTATTCCTTCTCTAAACTTATGTTCTAGGTCAACAGTTAAGAAAGTTACTCGTGGTAGTAAATAAGAATGTGATTAATAGTGATATCAACCTACATATCATTATAAAATTCATTTCTTCAAAAGGGGAAATGGTAAAACCCTGTTAAGCAGTGACTTAAGGTGCTGGGTACAGTGGCTAACACCTGTAATCCTAGCTACTCAAAAGAAGGTGGGAAGATTGCTTAAGCCCAGGAATTAGTGAGCTATGGTCATGCCACTGCATTCCAGCCCGGACAACTAAGTGAAACCCTCTCTCTCTCTCTTTTTTTTTTTTTTTAAATAAAAAGGTAGTCTAAGAAGTTATCATTTTACCAGGCTGTTGAAAGTAAGGTGAATGGAAAAAATCTCTCAATATGCAGATTAAAGTTCAGGGAACTCAGAATTGAAAAGTTCACTTTATCAAAACATGTAGATGATTTCATTGGAACACCATTTTCTGATTATGAAAAGATAACCATAGGATTTCACCTAAATCCTAAGATAATCACAAACCATAGGGTATGTGGTTACTGGAGATCTCTAGAGAGTTTTCAGCAGCAGTAGTGATACGATATTGGTATTTAAACAAAGTTAACATAACTATATATGAAAACCAATTACAAGTGGAAGAGAGTAGATGAAGAGAGCTTAATTTATAGTCTGTTAGGTCAATACAGGCATGAAATATTACCATAGCAGACTACTTCTCTAGGATTTCATCCTACATTGAGGTTTTTGTTTTTTGTTTTTGTTTTTGTTTTGAGACAGGGTCTCGCTCTGCCTAGGCTGGAGTGCAGTAGGGCAATCGTGACTCACTGCAGCCTCAACTTCCTGGGCTCAAGTGATCCTTTGACCTCAGCCTCCTGAGTAACTGGGACTACAGGCATGTACCACCATGCTTGACTAATTTTTGTATTTTTTGCAGAGATGGTGTTTTGCCATGTTGTCCAGGCTGGTCTTGAACTCCTGGGCTCAAGCAGTCCACTTCAGCCTCCCAAAGTGCTGGGGATTATAGGCCTGAACCACTACACCTAGCCCATTTAGTTTTCTTAATCACCTTTTCCATGTTCCTTCATGAGCTGTCTTTCTTGGGGTCTCCCTGCATATTTTCCAGTTGACATGCCTGTACATAACAGGTTTTGTGAGATTTATTAAATATTTTTAAATTACCTTTTTCACAATGTCTCCTTTGATGTAGCCATGATAAAGGAAACATTCACTTTTTTTATATCTTTCAGATTGGGAATCTATATATGAGACACAGGAATTACCTCTGAAGCAGTTCATGTATGATGATGCATGCATGGAGGGAATTACAAGCTATGGACTTGAGTGTTCCACTTTTGAAGAAAACTGGAAATGGGAAGACCTTTTTGAGAAGCAGATGGGAAGTCACAATATTTTTAGCAAGAAAGAAACAATCACTCATAAAGAAACCCTCACTAAGGAAACAGAATTCAAATATACTAAATATGGGAAATGTATCCATCTGGAAAACATAGAAGAGAATATTTATAATCACACATCAGATAAAAAAAGCTTCTCCAAAAATTCTATGGTAATAAAACACAAGAAAGTCTATGTAGGAAAGAAGCTTTTTAAATGTAATGAATGTGACAAAACCTTCACCCATAGCTCATCCCTTACTGTTCATTTTAGAATTCATACTGGTGAAAAACCATATGAATGTGAGGAATGTGGAAAAGCCTTCAAGCAAAGGCAACACCTTGCTCAACATCACAGAACACATACTGGAGAGAAACTCTTTGAATGTAAAGAATGTAGGAAAGCCTTCAAACAAAGTGAACACCTTATTCAACATCAAAGAATTCATACTGGAGAAAAGCCATATAAATGTAAGGAATGTAGAAAAGCCTTCAGACAGCCTGCACACCTTGCTCAGCATCAGAGAATTCATACTGGAGAGAAACCCTATGAATGTAAAGAATGTGGCAAAGCCTTCAGTGATGGCTCATCTTTTGCTCGCCATCAGAGATGTCACACTGGGAAAAGACCCTATGAATGTATTGAGTGTGGGAAGGCTTTTAGGTATAACACATCTTTTATTCGTCACTGGAGGAGTTATCATACTGGAGAGAAGCCTTTTAATTGCATTGATTGTGGGAAAGCTTTCAGTGTTCACATAGGACTTATTCTGCATAGGCGAATTCATACAGGAGAGAAACCTTACAAATGTGATGTGTGTGGAAAAACCTTCAGCTCTGGTTCATCCCGTACTGTACATCAGAGAATTCACACAGGAGAGAAACCTTATGAATGTGATATATGTGGGAAAGATTTTAGCCATCATGCATCACTCACTCAGCATCAAAGAGTACATTCTGGAGAGAAACCTTATGAATGCAAGGAATGTGGGAAAGCCTTTAGGCAGAATGTACACCTTGTTAGTCATTTGAGAATTCATACTGGTGAAAAACCCTATGAATGTAAAGAATGTGGAAAAGCTTTTAGAATCAGTTCGCAGCTGGCTACTCATCAGAGAATTCATACTGGAGAGAAGCCTTATGAATGTATTGAATGTGGAAATGCTTTCAAACAGAGATCACACCTTGCCCAACATCAGAAAACTCATACAGGAGAGAAACCTTATGAGTGTAATGAATGCGGGAAAGCCTTCAGCCAAACTTCCAATCTTACTCAACATCAAAGAATTCATACTGGAGAGAAACCCTATAAATGTACTGAATGTGGAAAGGCTTTTAGTGATAGCTCATCCTGTGCTCAACATCAAAGACTCCACACTGGCCAAAGGCCCTATCAGTGTTTTAAATGTGGGAAGGCATTCAGAAGAAAGTTATCCTTAATTTATCATCAAAGAGGTCATACTGGAGAAGAACCTTAAGAATGTAGTGCATGTGGCCAAGCCTTTAGTTATCATCAATCCCTTACTGTTAATCAGCGATGTCCCACTGGTTGAAAAACATAAACGTAAGAAATGTAGAAAAACCTTCAGCCAGAAGCTGGCAAGATGGCTGAACAGGAACAGCTCTGGTCTGCAGTTCCCAATGAGAGCAACACAGAAGGTGGGTGATTTCTGTATTTCCAACTGAGGTACCCGGCTCATTTCATTGGGACTGGTTAGACAGTGGGTGCAGCCCATGGAGGGCGAGCCGAAGCAGGGTGGGGCGTAACCTCATCTGGGAAGTGCAAGGAGTCGGGGATCTCCCTCCCCTAGCCAAGGGAAGCCATGAGGGACTGTGCCATGAGGAATGGTGCACTCTGGTGCAGATACTAAGCTTTTCACATGGTCTTTGCAACCCATAGACCAGGAGATTCCCTTGGGTGCCTATGCCACCAAGGTCCTGGGTTTAAGCACAAAACTGGGCGGCCATTTGGGTAGACACCAAGCTAGCTGCAGGAGTTTTCTTTGATACCCCAGTGGCACCCGGAACGCCAGTGAAACAGAACCACTTACTCCCTTGTTAAGGGGGCCGAAGCCGGGGAGCCAAGTGATTGAGCTAAGTGGGCTCATACCCACTGAGCCCAGCAAGCTAAGATCCACTGGCTTGAAATTCTTACTGCCAGCACAGCAGTCTGAAGTCGACCTGGGATGCTCAAGCTTGGTGGGGGAAGGGGCATCTGCCATTACTGAAGCTTGAATAGGTGGTTTTCCCCTCACAGCATAAACAAAGCCACGGGGAAGTTCCAGCTGGGCAGAGCCCTCCATAGCTCAGCAAAGCCTCTGTAGCCAGACTGCCTCTCTAGATTCCTCCTCTCTGTGCAGGGCATCTCTGAAAAAAGTTCAGATAAAACCCCCATCTCCCTGGGACAGAGCACATGGGGGAAAGGGGTGGGTGTGGGCACAGCTTCAACAGACTTAAACGTTCCTGCCTGCCAGCTCTGAAGAGAGCAGCAGTTCTCTCAGCACAGTGCTCGAGCTCTGCTAAGGGACAGACTGCCTCAGGTGGGTCCCTAACCCCCATGCCTCCTGATGGGAAGACACCTCCCAGCAGGGGTCCACAGACACCTCATACAAGAGAGCTCCAGTTTGCATCTGGTGGGTGCCCCTGTGGGACAAAGCTTCCAGAGGAAGGAACAGGCAGCAATCTTTGCTGTTCTGCAGCCTCCACTGGTGATACCCAGGCAAACAGGGTCTCGAGTGGACCTCCAGCAAACTCCAGCAGACCTGCAGCAGAGGGGCCTGACTGTTAGAAGGAAAACTAACAAAAAGGAATATCATCAACATCAACAAAAGGACATCCACACAGAAACCCCATCTGAAGGTCACCAGCATCAAAGACCAAGGGTAGATAAATGCATGAAGATGGGGAGAAAGCAGTGCAAAAAGGCTGAAAACTCCAAAAACCAGAATGCCTCTTCTCCTCCAAAGGATCACAATTCCTCGCCAGCAAGGGAACAAAACTGGATAGATAATGAGTTTGACAAATTGACAGAAGTAGGCTTCAGAAGGTGGGCAATAAACTCCTGTGAGCTAAAGGAGCATGTTCTAGCCCAATGCAAGGAAGCTAAGAACCTTGAAAAAAGGTTCGAGGAATTGCTAACTAGAATAACCAGTTTAGAGAAGAACTTATGACCTGATGGAACTGAAAAACACATCATGAGAACTTCGCGAAGCATACACAAGAAAAACCTGCAGCCAGATTGAATGCTTTACATGGAGGAATTCATACTGCAAAGAGGTCCTAACAATGTAAAGAATGTGCAAATGTCTTCAGACGAAATGCACACCTTGCTCATCAGTGAGTTCATTTCAGGCATCCAGCTGTCCCTCACCCACTACATCACCAAGTCCTGTGGATATATCTGCTAAATACTTTTGGAATGTATCCACTTCTTTTCGTTCCCCAGTTCAAAACACAGTCATTTCACCTTGACTATTTCAGTCATTACACAGGTGTCCAACCTTTTGTCTTCCCTGGGCCACATTGGAAGAAGAAAAATTGTCTTGTGCCACACATACAATACAGTAACATTAACAATAGCTGATGAGCTAAGAAAAAAAAAGTCTATGCATAATTTTAGTGATACACCACCTCAAATAAGCATAAAAGTCCTCACATTCAATGGGTTGGATACCCGTGAATTCTAAAACTTCATCCTCTTTTGTCCCTTTCGAGTTAACATTACAGCCACAGTGACCCTTGAAAAATGCAAATTAAATTACTCTCTTAAAACTCTAGTTAAAATACTTGATGTACATAGGGTGCTTAGCAAAATGATCAGCTCATACTAAGTGCTTGGTAAATGTTAGATAAGTATTCTTCAGAGTTGATGTAAGTTATTTTTAAACAGTGTATTCTTGAAAGCAGTTTGGCAATCGTAAAAATTTTGGAACCGAAACCGTATCTTTTTTTAAACTAAAAAAAGTTTTAAATGGGGTCTTACTATGTTGCCCAGGGTGATCTCAAACTCCTGTGCTCAAGTGATCCTCCCACCTCATTCTCAAGTGGCTGGAATTACAGGCAACCAGCCTGACTTAAAACAGTATCTTAAGGTAGACGGTGATTAGCACATGTAGTATGCTTAACATTTAATATTATAATAAAACATCAGAGTGGCTCTCTCATGATTAAGGCTGTGTTCCCTTGTTGGTGAGGAAATTAATTATGACTTGATGCACAGAACATGTTTTAAGAAGTGGCTATATAGCTCTGGATAAAATGAACAAAAGAATTAGAATTCCTGGGGAGAATATATAAAAGACTGTATTTAGTCAAGCAAAAACAAAACAAAAAACTAATGTTTAACTGAAGAAAGAGAAATTGAGTAATATAGTTGTATTTCAACATGTGGGTTCACAGATTTAGTCTAACCTTTCAAGGATCCACTAGTAAAGTTGTTCTGGAGTGTATTTTAAAAAACACACACACACTTAAAATGTTCCACTTCTTTCATGAGGCTAAGTCAACTCTGATATCAAACCAAGGGGAAAAAAATGAAAGTATAGGTGAGTTTACTTAGTTATATACAAAAGGAAATTATTAGCCTCTACTGATGGAGAACAGAGGCTCTGAATAAATGGAGATCCATAACATGATCCTAGATGAATATTTCAATATTGTAATCATGTAGGTTACTTTTACATTGACAGTTCTGAAATTCATGTTGAGTGTTAATTAGGGAGCTATCAGAAGGGAGATTTTGTAGAAGGGCATATCCCATGGGTTTTTTATATTGCAGAAGTGTTTTCGATGTATCATTGGGGGAGATTAAATGTCTTTGACAGTTATCCAACTGGAAATAAAGTCAGCATCCCATTTTATTCCTTACACAGAAGTTCATTCTATACTGGTTACAGATATAAGAGGAAATACTGTTACAATGGTAGAGGAGAATGTAGAGTATTTCTGTGCCTTTAGGTTCAGGAAGTCTTTGGGAAGCAGGACACGGTCCAGAAGCCATGGAGAATGACAGGACTATGTAGAAGATTTAAACCTTTTTCATGGCATAAGATACTGTATGCAAAGTTAAAAGGCATATGACAGGCTGAGAGATATCTTAAACATACATTAGAAAGAATATAGCCCTTGAAAAAGGGCTGTTGGAAAGCAGCAAGGATAAGGTACACAGTCTTGCAGAGCACGTCAACAAAATTTATTGGATGAAGAAATTAAAATGGTTAAATAGAAGAAGTTCTCAACCTCACTAATGATCAGATAAATGCAGACTGTAAAAGTCCTCATCACCACCAACACAAACCAGCAGAAATTTTATGTGAATGTAAAGTTTGGATAATATCCAGTATTGTTACAGATGTACGAGAGACCATATTTTCATATATTGACAGGGTAAATTAGAGGGAAGCCATTTTAGAGGGCAATGTGGTGTTACCTGTCAGCATTTTGGATGTAATTACCCTTTGCCACAATTCTACACCTAGTCATTTATGTTCTCAAAAAGCACAAGTGCAGAAATATATATGCATAAGCAAATACGTTGTAGAATTGTGAAAAATTTGGAAAAAATGTTTAGAACTAGTAAAGCTGTGGGTTACTTACGTTACAGATAATCAGTTTAGTAGATCAGTATGTAGTTATAGAAAATGAGATGGATCTCTATGTACTCAAAGTTGTCTTGCAGTTTATGAACAAATGTAATTTCATAACTAACACAAAGACATCGTTATTAACTACATAAACTTCATAAAGCTTAAAAAATGCATTCATAGTATCTGTTATTTGTAGTTTTTGTTTACAATACAAATAGAAACCATGCACACACAGATAAAAGAACTCCTTCCCTGTTTTTGTTTTTGTTTTGTTTTTGGTAGTGGGCGGGGTGAACTGCTCTCATGTTATTCCATGAGGTTTTTTTGTGTGTTGCTGGTTGTGCATGGTTCATGTTTTATTTTTATTTTTTGAGATGGAGTCTTGCTCTGTCGTCAGGCTGGAGTGCAGTGGTGCGATCTCGGCTCACTGCAACCTCCACCTCCTGGGTTCAAGTGATTCTCCTGTCTCAGCCTCCCGAGTAGCTAGGACTACAGGATAGTCTCGATCTCTTGACTCATGATCTGCCCACCTTGGCCTCCCAAAGTGCTGGGATTACAGGCATAAACCATCGCATCCCGCCTGTACACAGTTCATTTAAATCAAATTAGATACTCCTTGAGACATGGGTGAAGTTGAACATGAGTTATCCTTTGGCCATGACTTAAAGATAGTATATGAGTTTCTGCTACTCTGCTCCCTAGACCTGACCCGATTCATGCTTCTGCCAGGTTGTAAACATATTTTGTCCTGCTGAATTGGCAGAGTAGCCCCAAAAGAACTGTGACTAAGGTATGCACATACTGAAGAATATAACCAGTATTTCTGGGAGAGCTCTAAGGAAGGTAGACTTCTGTTGCAGTCATTCAGAAGAATTATGGGTGGTGATTCTTGC